CCGCGCCCCCCGCCGTGCAGGGACCCCGCGCGTGGCTCTCCCTGCCCCGGCACGGGTGTCACCGGTGGTGTGAGCTCCATGGGCCGGGGACGCGGAGCAAACGTGCGCTTCCCAGTGGGAAATCCTGCTGGTGAGAAGTTGTTGGCTGCTGTATCTATTTTAATTTTGCTTGCACGTCTCTATAACGGAGCGTATTGCTCCCATTTCCCTTTTCCCTGGAAATCGCCGCTGCCCGGGAGCGCCGGGGCTGGCAGCCAGCCCCGAGCACGGAGCGGCTCCCCTGGACCAGTTTCTCTTCTCCTCCCAACAGGGGGGGGTGGTTGCGAAGAGGGGCAAGGACTACATCCTGAAGCACGTCCCAAACATGCACAAAGATCAGTTTGCCTTGACGGCCTCGGAAGCCCATCTCAAATACATCAAGGAGGCCGTCCGGCTGGACGACGTGGCTGTGCACTACTACAGGTTGTACAAGGTGAGTGAGCCCCGGCTGCGAACCCGGCCTGGGCTTTGTATTCATGTATTATATTTATTGAAAGGAGCAACTGCCGAACAATTTCTAAGGTATTTTGGGAAGAGCTGCGTTTGAATTGGCACTCGCCGGCTGGAGGAGAGCGGTCTCGAGGGCAGTGCTTTGCTCCCAGAGGCAGGGAGATGCAGTTTTTTATAGTCCTCCCATTTTCTACAAGTTATGGAGAGGCGAGAGGTTTGCCGGGGTGCAAGGAGGCAGCCGTGGGGTTTCTGGGATCTTATTTTTTGGTATCCGCTCGCTAAGAAATATATGCTGGGTTTTTCTCCTGGGGAACAAAGCAATTTGTTTGCTGGGAGCTGGTGCTTTGCAAACCATTTTGTAGCATCCTTAAGTTCAAGAGAAGTTTGCCTTCGGGAGAGGACAGGGAATGGCAAGTACAGAGAGCATCGAGCACGGCAAGGGGGGTACATTGTTAAAAAGGGCTGTAAAAAAAAAAAAACCAACCTTGTTTCCAGCCCCCCAGGGAGATGTGCATGAGAGACAGTGGCCATGTGCGTGGCCGGTGCCACCCATGCTGCTGCAGGCAGGGTGGGCTGCCCTCTGTCACCTGCTCTGTGCCAGTGCAGGAGCAGGTTGGGCTCAAGCGTAAAAGTGCCCCAGCTCTGTTTCTGAAGGTCCTTCCAAGTTTTCTGAGGTTAAACTGCTTTTCCAGACCCCATAAGTGGGGTGTTTCTGAGCGGTAAGGGGGTGGCAGGCGCCTGGGAGGTGAGACTGGGGAGGGTGTTAGAGGACGTGACCGGGTGGTATGTGTGCATCGTTAATTAAATGGTCGGACTCGATGATCTAAGGGTCTTCTCCCACCTAAATGATTCTATGACTGATGTGGCACCTACTGCCTGCGGCTGTTGTTGCTGCGCAGGAGTTGGGGTGATTAGAGGAGGATACCTGGGCTGAGGGGGGGGCAGATTTATCCACTTCTTGCTGCAAATTGTGTATCTAAAACCATCTAATTTTTTCCTCCTTAGGACAAAAGGGAGGTGGAGGCCTCCCTGACGCTGGGGCTGACCACGCGGGGCATCCAGATCTTCCCGGGAGGCG